ACTATTCATTCAATGACTTTGTTTCTGATTTTGTTCCTTTGTTTCAAAAGTGATTATGCTTTTGTTTTGTGGAAGAAAAGGCTTTATTCTTTGTTGAAAATCAGGACATAATTTTAGCCTTATACCCAATCTTAGGATGAGCAAACAGGAACAGATTCACTCAGGATTCAGAGCTATGGAATAATCGATTAGCACATTTGGTAAATCGATTATTAGGCTTTAGCTCAACTGGAAATGTTCAGAGGAACCAGATAGTCGATTTACACTGCAAGACAATCGATTATGTGATGTTGCAGATTTTGAAGAAGAATCAGAGGGCTACAATAGTCGATTATCAAACAATGATAATCGATTATTTACAGGTTCAGAATCAGCATTAGAAGAAAAGAAGGGAAGGAATTATTTGGAAAAAAAAAGGATTTGAAAAGAAACAAAGGTTTGACTTGTCTTCCTTTGATTTCATTTTTGACTAAAATTTGATGGGAAAGACTTTATTTTGAATTAAAGAAAAGAAAGAATACTTTTGGATATGTGGGGAGAGTTGGGGTTTTGGTGGAGCCATCCAGGGGAACATCAAGCCAGCTCATGACGTCATCATGGGTATGTTCACCTTATCCGATACATCCATTACAGCATTGATTGATCCGGGTTCCACTTTATCATATGTGTGTATGCCTATGCCTATTATGCCTAAGATTCTGAGGGAAGACTTAGTCAATCCGGTAATAGTGTCCAACCCATCGGGACACAGTCTACGACTAACCCATGTGTATCGCGATTGCCCATTAGTGGTCCAGGGAAAGACCTTCCCTGCAAGTCTCATTGAGCTTCCACATCGTGAGTTTGACGTTATTCTAGGCATGGATATATTGGCTCACTGCCAACCAAGCTATTGTCGATTGGGGAGCGCATACGGTTCGGCTGAGAGCCGAAGACAGTAGCGACATTCTGGTCCGTGGAGAGCTTCTTCCGAAAGCTCCAGAATTCATTTCCTACATTCATGCTCGACGACTCATTCGCAAGAAGTGTGAAGCATTCTTGTGCACAGTGTGTGACACTTGTCAGGAGGCGCCTAGTAGGGGGGACATCCCTACGGTATGTGACTTTCCTGATGTGTTTCCAGATGACTTACCTGGTCTACCACCCCCTAGGGAGGTAGAGTTTTCCATTGATCTTGTTCCAGGAACAGGACCGATCTCGACCACACCTTATCGCATGGCGCCTGCAGAGATGAAGGAGCTGAAGGCTCAACTGCAGGAGTTGCTGGATAAGGGCTTCATCCGACCCAGTGTGTCCCCTTGGGGAGCACCGGTTCTGTTCGTCCGCAAGAAGGACAGATCGATGTGGTTGTGCATCGATTACCGTCAGTTAAACAAAGTCACCATCAAGAATCGCTATCCGCTATTACGCATTGATGATTTGTTTGACCAGCTGAGAGGAGCCACCGTCTTCTCTAAGATCGATCTCCGATCAGGATACCACCAGATTCCCGTCAAGAAGGAAGACATTCCTAAGACGGCTTTCCGCACGAGATATGGTCATTACGAGTTCACAGTCATGCCTTTTGGGTTGACTAATGCACCAGCAATGTTCATGGATCTGATGAATAGTGTGTTCCGGAAGCATCTTGACCAGTTTGTTGTGGTCTTCATCGACGACATCTTGGTGTACTCCAAAGGTAACATGTAAATTATTATTACCCGTAATCAAATGAATACAAGAATGTCAAATGCTTAACTATAAGATGGTTACTTGCATAAGTACGTAAAAATACAACCTAAACACCTATACATAGCAGAAAACTACAATTCAAAATGCCCCTACACAAACAAATGTAGTAGGCCATACAAAAAGCATCCACTAAGAACCAAAAGGAAACTCAAAACCAACATCAACAAAGAAGATTACAAACAGAACAAAAAACAAGCTTCAAGTCCATATTGCAACACATTCCACATTCCAGTTGAGTCAAGCAAGGCATAGCATCAGTAGCATCATGTATATCCAATCTCAGCCAAGGTTCAGAAGATCAAGACCCCCCTTTTCACAAATAAAAGGGACAGGTCTGAACCCAACTAGTAGACAGTCTACACAAGCACGGCTACCTGCCACCCAAGATTGATAGCTAGCTGTAGAACATCCATTGCAACCAGGTGTGTCCATCTCCCTTCGAAGAGAGCATCAACTCTTCTACAACACAGGGGGTGAGGTAATCATGTCAAACTCCCTTCGAAGAGTGTGTCAACTCTCCTACAACACAGGGAGCAAAGGCAAGCAAAACGCAATGCCAAACATCACAACCAACTCAAAATCCAAGTTCAGCACAGCCATGTTAAGCACATAATATGGTATACAAAGTGAAACCAGTCACTGCCAGTGGAAGACCAAGCAGGGGATCCAAACTCCCATCTGTCAGTGATATGGGCAGCAAACAATATGTATACTAAAAGATGGAGGGTTCAGAAACACATGAGCCTCCAATCACAAGATCCACAGTAACCCAAACCAAGTTCAGAACCAGTTAGCCAAGTAAAGCACAGCGAGGAGGACTAGCCTTCATACATATACAAGTCAAAGAAAGAGATGTAATATGCATTGTGGGCTAAGTCCTAGAGCAAG